CTTTATTGCAATGTAAACCATACCCTGTGTAACTGAATCAAAAACCTTTCTGCTAAGTTCTGATTGCTGAATCCTTATGCCTCTAGTGATGATTTTGGTTCAGCCCTGTCCTAGCAGTGGATCCACCTGCAAACATGGTGGCAATTCAGATCTGGATCCAAACTTTGCAAGTGGAGCAGAGCTTTGGTTCAGGACCCTCTCTATTTAGAAGGCCAGATCCTCAGGTGGTTTTAAATCATGTAGAGCCACTGAAAACACTGCTGAGGATGTGGCCTGCAATATTCAAAACATTTATCATATTTTAAACATAGGCCATTCCAACATAATTTCTCCTGCTATTGCTATACAAACTAGTTTCATTACCTCATTGAAAAACAAAAGGCCTTTAAGCCTAATAAAGCACTGTCCAATAGTATAGCAATCTTATTGTAATTATTTTTATTCAGACTGGAACAATCCAATCTTTTGTAATATGTTTCTTTGGTGTCTGTTTGGATGAAAACAGAAACATGCAGAAGCTGCATTCACTGTGCTGCCCGTATGGCTCCATAAACAGATTGCATTCATTAAAGGCTCCTATCAGATTCACATCACAAAATAAGTTGGAGACATTTTAGAAGTCACACTGCAGTCACATCACATATGCCTAAAGCTGTGTTCGCTATAGTGCACACACAACTGTCTTTTGGGCAGCTGCCTTCTCCAGGGAAAGCTTTGAAAACCTTTTTGAACATCTTGACCATATTCCACCTCCGCATCCAATCCCCAGAGCATCATAGAGATTGTCAGTTCCACATTACATTCCTGGACATAGACATTGCTTGACTTGAAAACCTCAGGGTTTTCTTTTTTTGTACCCACCCTTTTCCTGCCATCCCGGATACACACATGCACACAATCCTGAAATCCTTACTCAAAACTCTCACTGAAGTCCATGAGAATTTTGTCTGAGTGAGGAGTGTAGGGTCTGGTACAAGTGAATAGTTTGTGTGCATATTTCACCTCGTATTAATTCAGTCACTTTTCCAGTCCTTCACCAATCAGTCAGTATGAGCCACGTACTTACTTAATTTCCTTGCAAAAGAGGGAATATTCCGAGCACAAAATGGATGCAATGGTAAATTTCCTCTCGCTCTTAATATCAGGCGGAAAGCATGAATGTTTGCAAGAACTACAGCTAGTGGCTTTTTCCACCATGAGTAAGAGAGCTAGGCAGGGATATTGCAGTAGTCTGGCTTATCTCTAGTTTTATTTCTCTCTGTTTTGATCTACTCCATTAGCCTTTACTCGCTGGTATATTTTGTGTGCTTGCCAACTATGTAAAAGGAGAAATGGGCCTGATCAAAAAGCCCAGCTTTGAACAACCCTGAAATGTGGAAAGAACGTTGCAGCCTTAACTCTAGAATGAACCAAACTCAAAACCTCAATCCAGACACCCCCGAATTTTGGGTCCAAATCTGATCTCTAGCAACATCCTGACATTTCCTCCTTCCACCTGTGTTTTAAATTCCTGTTCTTTCCCATTTTTCAGCCTTGTTACAGAGAGGATTGATGGACAAAGTACCTGGTATGTAAGGGGTTAAAACGCTCTCTCTGCCATCCAGAGATAGCTGCTAGCAGTTAGGATTATCAGCAGTTACTTTCCCTCCTGATTGTAACTCAACAGTACTAACACCTGAGTTACCAAGCAGCTAAACTAATCACCCAAGACTAACACAGATAGGAGAGCTGTAGGAAGCTCTGTCGATTGCCTCTGAACTTCAAGAAGCCCCAGGCTTTTTTGTGGAGCTGTGGCTGATACAAGCCACATTTTAATTCTTGGCCTTCATTAAGGCTTGAGCTCTTAAGCAGGTTGCTCCCCGGCACCAACTTGCCTGACAACTTCCTCACAGTTTGCCTTGATGAGCTGGCTGCACAATTCAGGCTTTTCTTCTTGCTGGCTTATTGTCCGGCCAGTTTGAGATTGTTCTAGTTTGGACCTCACTTCTACAGGAGGGGGATAGGGCAGCTGTCGCATAAGGAGGATGCGGAGGATTTGAGAGGTCCTGTGTATTACCTTCATCTTTAAACTCTCGCCTATACTTGGGGGAGTTTTTATTTGCTATGTCTTCAATCTGTCTCTAACTTGGGTTAGCCTCTCCTACCCCCTTTCTTTTCATTGGGTGGAAAACATGCTCATGAATGGAAGTTTGTTTCCTTAGAAGTGTATTGCTGACTGGAGTGCAGTGCTCAAGGGCTCAGATCCTCAGCTGGTATAAATCAGATTGTCTCTATTGAAGACAAGGGGCAAAATTTTCAAGTATCAAAGTGATTTAGGAGCCTTGTTCCCATTTTCAGAAGTAGGGTGACCAGATGTCCCGATCTTTGGGTCTTTTTCTTATATAGGCTCCTATTACCCCACACCCCCGTCCCGATTTTTCACATTTGCTGTCTGTTCACCCTATTCGGAAGAGACATAGGTCCTTAACTGCCAGATTTTTAAAGGTATTTAGGCATCTAAGGATTAAATCTATGGGAGCTAAGTACCTTGGCACTTCTGACAATCCCACTAGATACCTATCTGTATCTGGCCCTCAGAAACCAAAGTCATTGAAAGTAAATGGGACTTAAGCACCTAAATCCATTTTGAAAATGGGAATTAGGCTTCTAAATTCTTGGAACGCTTTTGAAAATTTTACCCAGTCTCTCCCAAGGACAAGCCCCACCATGATGTAATCAGTCCATGGCAGAAATGAAAGCTTACTTCTGTGCTGACCATTACCATTAAAAAAAACCAAACCTGGAAACCAAAAATCCAGTCTGCACTGAAAAAATATTTAGGTAATCCCACATCCTAGCTACGCTCTTCAAAACGAGTGTTATGTTTCAATTCCCAGAACCTTTTAAATCATGATTGGAGGCTTTCTTAAAAGATCTACTTTAGTTCGGACAGGAATTATTTTAGGGAAGTTCCCTGGCCTGCATTATACAGGAGGGCTGACTAGATGATCACAATGTTCCCTTCTGGCCTTGGAATCTGCTAGTTTATTCACATTTTTTCCACTGAGAAATTTGCGCAACCTTTGCTTTTTGAGTGCTTTTTAAAATTTGTAATGCCAGGATAAATTTGATTTAAAGTATTACAGGTTCTTATCCATGTCTGGGGGAGAAATGGGCAGTTTTCCCTTTCAGTGGATTATTAGATTAGGAAAGGAGGTTGACTCAAGTGAAAACTGTTCTGGGAGCAGCAGTGGCAGACACGGCAGCCGTGCCTATCGAGGAGTTGTTGAAAATTTGCATCTAATAAACTTCCCTACTTGTGCCTGCCAGCATACCTTCCACAAATGAACCGTGAGTTAGACTTGTAGTGATAATGTAGGATTCATTGCTCCAGATTTACTGTCCTTATTTATTTTTATAATTGTAAATGGAAATATTAAAAAGACTGATATGTTTGTAATTTAACTGTATTTTTATTTTTTTGGTAGTGAAAACATTCCTGAATACTGCTGGTTCCCTTTTTCAATCCCAGCTGTTTGTTAAAAGCTGCTCTATCATATATATCACTGTTTTCATTTCCAGCAACAGCTGTAGACCAAACTCTGTAATTGCCCAGCAAGAACCTCCCTCTAAGATTCCAGGGGAACCTGAAAACACCTGAGTAACATGGCCGAACTGATCTCCTGACATTAAAGGGAGTGACTTTCAAAAGCACACACCCAGTGTTGACCTAACTTGGGCCAGGTCTACTCTACATACTTCAGTGTAACTACGTCGCTCAGCGGCGTGAAAAATCCACATCCCTGAGCGATGAAGTTTATACCGGCCGTATAGACAGCACTATGTCAGTAGGAGAGTTTCTCCTGCCAACATAGCTACCACCGCTGGCAGAGGTGGAGTAACTAAGCTGATGCGTGAGCTCTCGCTCCTGTTGGCTTAGAACATCTTCACAGTGCTACAGAGGCGTAGCTGCACCGTTTGTAGTGTAGACTTGCCCTCAGCTTCTATGAAGTCCCACTGGCTTCCACTGTCTATGTAAACTCCTCTCCTATTACAGAATATAACATCCTAATGAGAACTGAGTTAGGCCAGCACTGCGGGCTTTGGAAAATCCCATCCCAAAAGATCATAATGCCACATACTGTTAACGTATACAGATAATATTGGCTTAATCTATCTTCCTGTATGTGTTAATTGATAATGTTGGTATTATGACAATTTAATACCATCAGTAGGGGATATGTTCCTCTTGAATGCTGGGGAAACTTACTTTTATGTTGTGGCATAGCTTCCTTCCTAACATGACCGGTTTCATTCCTTGGAGGTACTTGACTTGATTATTTAAGTTTTTAAAACCACTGTGGGCTGGAAGTAGCTTCATAGCCCCCTGCAGCCGACTCACCCATACATACAGCTTCTAAACTGGTTCTGAAGAAAGGGCCAGAGCCAAGCTTTGGAAAAGGGATTCTGCACCTGTGACTAAATACCATATTATTTACTGAGACTGTAAAGCCAGCTGTACAAATGTACGTGTTTTGAAAACAGCGTGTTTACTGTTGTAAAGTTTGTAAATATTTTTTTAAATAAATGTAGATTGAGTAAACCAGGAAAAAACACCCTAAATGTCTTCCATGCATGGACTATTGAAATGCAAGTGAAATTGTGTGTTGTTTAATAGTAGGTAACTTACATGTATTAGACTAACGTCCAAAGGCCCCAACAAACAATGCGGGCCTATTTTGCTAGACACTGTTTGTACACGTGAAAAGTCACACAGCAGATCAGTGGCAAGTAGAACCCAAGTCTCTTGAATCCTGGTGCATTGCCCCAAGCGGTCATTTATCTTATGCGAGAGCTAATACTCTACACCAAAAAATATTTCCAACATCTCTATATGGTTTTTGTATTTGAACATTTATGCACATGACACTGTAATCCAAACAGAGGTCAGACCTTAGAGCTAAATCATTGCTTTAAAATGTTACAGTAACGGGTCCTTTGTTCCATTTGCCTTCATGAATTCAGATCTTCTTTCGCCCTGCGTCTCCTTCAATCAGACTTGCCTGTAACACACATTGTATGATTTGATTTTTTTTAAAGAGGAAAAATTACTTGGTTTGGAATTTTAAGGCCAGGTGAAATACTAAAATATTCTGCATGGAGGGTCTCCATCAGGAAGAGGGCTAGACCTGCATAAATCTGAACTAAGCGGATCTCTGCCAGCCGCTTATGTAGGTGCTAGTGCAGTACACCATAACTTACATTTATAATAGTTCCTTTCATCCCACTCCTCCATCTAGCACAGAGGTTCTCAAACTGGGGGTCAGGACCCTTTGGGGTCGCAAGCTGTCAGCCTCCACCCCAAACCCTGCTTTGCTTCCAGCATTTATAATGGTGTTAAATATATTAAAAAGTGTTTTTAATTTATAGGGGGGGGTTGCACTCAGAGGCTTGCTATGTGAAAGGGGTCACCAGTACAAAAGTTTGAGAACCACTGATCTAGCAGTTTGCCTGCCCCTGAAATGCAGCTGTTTCTGGAGTGCAACACAGTGACTGTTGAACAATGAATAGCAACAACAGTTTAGGACAAGTAGTGAGGAAATGTAGTCATTTGAAGTATCAATATGTTAAGTGTCCCTATACAAATGTAGCCTTTGACCAGAATACCAGAGCTAACATCTTACTTTCTGCTATGGCATATCTCAGGACTATCACAGCACCACTTCCTGCAGTATCTAGTCTGCCATTCAGGTACTGACCTACCTTGCCACATCTATTGTTCTTGTAGCCTGAGATTCTATTGATCTAGTCTAGGGAAATATACTGTCTTTCTCCCAAACTATAATAGGTAAACAACAAGGAGTCTGGTGGCACCTTAAAGACTGACTAAGATTTATTTGGGCATAAGCTTTCGTGGGTAAAAACCTCACTTCTTCAGATGCACGAAAGCTTATGCCCAAATAAAGTGAGGTTTTTACCCACGAAAGCTTATGCCCAAATAAATCTGTTAGTCTTTAAGGTGCCACCAGACTCCTTGTTGTTTTTGTAGATACAGACTAACATGGCTACCCCCGATACTTGACACGATAATAGGTAAGTACTTTATAGGGCTCCCATTACTATGGTATGCAAGCACCTCACAATCTTTAAGGTATTTATTCTCAACTCCCCTGTGAGGTAGGAAAATGTGGTTATCCCCATTTTACAGAGACACTAAGCCCCAGTTTTTTAAAGGTATATAGGTGCATAGTGGGATTTTCAAAAGAGCCTACATGTCTAATTCCCATAGAAAATCCCACTAGGTGCCTGGCTGCTTCCATAGGGCCAGATTTTAAAGGAATTTAGGCACCTAAGTGGCTCGCCAAAGCTCACATAGGAAGTCTGTGGCAGAGCATGAAGTTGAATCCCATTCTGATTCTCATGCTAACCCACGAACCACTGGCCTATCCTTCCGTCTCACTCTGTTCTGTAAATGTAGGGTCTAGAGGATAAATTCTGGTATCAATGCAACTAATTGACTACCTCAGAGGTCAGCGATTTAATCTCAGAGCAGTGGTCCACAAACTTTTTATCTTGCATCCCCCACTTACCCCTATCCGTACCCTCCCCCCATACTTTGGGGACCTCTGGCAAAGAGATTGCTCTACCCTTCAGCCTATAGATGTATTTCCTCTGGGAAACCATTGAGATTAGCCTCCCTGAAAGCGTCCCCCCTCTGGACACATTCATTTTTGTGTGGATCACCTTGTTTTCCACAGGTTGGTTGCATAACATCCCTGTAGCAACTACAACAATCGGTTACATGGAAAAGTTATATAGGGAAAAGATTGAACGTATTTTCAGTGTCATTCAGCAGCTGGAAATGAGGAGCCAGCAACAAATGACCAGCCAGCTCACTGCAGACCGTAGCAAGTGGGCTGTGGACAATTGGTGGTCCACGGGCCACAGTGTGTATGACTACAGGGGAAGCAGATACATAACAGTTAATACCCAAGGCATAAATTCTTAAGCTTCTGCATTAAACTCTTCTTTCATCATATCATGTAACAATGCAAATATATTTTAAAAGTAATTTGAGGTTGGCAAACCTGAAATCCAATTAGTGAGCTTTCAGCTATAAGAAAGGAAAGGACTTCCTCCTACATGGGTAAGAAGCATTCAAATGACTCACTGCCTGCTCTTTCCACTTCCCCGATAAAGGTTTTCACAGGAGAAAGATCTTTGTGTTAATACTTTCAGAAATTATTATTCATTATTCGTATCGGAGTAGAGACTAGAAGGCCCAGCCATGGGCCAGGACCCCATTGTGCAAGATGCTGTACAAAACCCCTGCCCCAAAGAGTTCACAATTAAAGTAATTTGAACATACAGTTTGCATTTGAAGTCAAAGCATACTTATGTACACATCTGCATTGTCAGAGTTTGGCCCATATGTTCTGCAAACCTCTGAGTACTGCAACTTTCCAGAGCTGTCTCCTAGCCGAGGTTTGCTTTTGTTCAGTCGGTTGAAGGTGAGACTTAGCAGTGGGTAAATAGGAAAGCCAAGCTTTTCAAACAGGACTAGTGATTTTGGATGCCTCAGTATTTAGGTGCCTGCCCTGAAACATCGCAAAAGGGTCTGATTTTCAGACAGTGCTGAGCATCTGTCTCATTTAAAGTGCGGTTGGACACATGAAAATGGAGGCACCCAAAACCCCTGGTCATGTCTGAAAACCTTTGCCCAAAATTCTAGGTTGGACACTAGACTTCTCTGCACTTGCCTGTGGGGGCTCTGCTGGTCTGTTCGTTAAGGTTCTGCTATTTTTGCTTTGGAGCTTGTACCAGAATAGAGACTCCACAGTCGGGACATGCTAGGGGGAGCAGCATCCATATGGCCTGATCCTTCGGCTGGCAGAGTTATTCTGTGGGATTAACAAACTCTGAATGCTGCATAGAATTGGGATGAAGGTAAAATTTATCTGACTTTGATTTTATTTTTTCATTTGGTGGTCCTTTGAGTTTCCATCACAATAAATCAAAGCTTTACTTACCAGAGCTCCCTTCAGACCACCGAGCATGGAGCGCTGATGTGGGCCAGTGCATTCAAAATGCTGCAGTTCACCTATTTTTTCCATTTCACTAGCAATCTGAATTGGAAGAGGATACAAATCTCATGGAAAGAATCTTCTGCTAGAGGACCACTCTACTATGCTAGACGGACATGCTTTTCTACTTCACAAGTTCACCATTCTCCCTCCCCCTGCATAGAACCAGTGTTATCCCACTTTTGTTATAGTAAATTTCAGAAATGCTCATGAAAGTAGAGATGAATCAGAGAGGTTAGAAGACTCTGACGAATGGAAATGGTGGACAGAGGCTTTCAGCTCTGGTTACTAGTTTGAATCCAAGTGAATGGTCAACATATGACAGTACCTACTGGGTTCCGGGATCAATATATGACAGTAGAGGGGCAGTTACCCTCTCCGGAGAGAAAAGGCTAGGCTGATTGGGAAACAGCCACAGCTGGGGCCATGCCTGACCCTGTTATAAGGGCTCAGGGAGGCGCTAGATCAGTCTCTCTCTAGCTGTGGCGAGAGAAAGACCTAGCTGCCGGGGAGAAAAGGGTACCTGGAGCAGAGCTGGGGAGCTCCAGTCTGGCAACTCCCCAGGCTGAGGCCTTGGTAAAGGCCTATGCAGGTACTGGGGATGGGAGGTGCAGCACAGAGATTGGCAAGGAGGTCAGACCAGCTGCCTCTGCCTATGATGAGTGGCCATGACAGACTGCAGTCTGCCCCAGTGAGCGGGGGCTAGAGAAGAATGACTGTCAGTAGCCACTGAGGCAAGGTGGGGCTAGAGGGTTGGGGGTTCCCCTGGGAGGGGAGACCCAGACTGTGGGTTACTGCTGGGGGCAGAACCCTGAGGTAAAGGGGCACGGGGAGGGACATGGGGCCAGCGGCAGGTGAGATACCGGCCTGCAGAGGGTGCTCTATACACTGGAAAAGAGCTAATTCCCAGACGACCAGCAGGAGGCGCTGCACTGGTGAGTCTTCGCTTTGCTACAGTGACCAATTACCAGAGGGCAGCTGTTCCTTGTCCTCCCTGAGCTCAAGTGGAGTGAGTGTTGCCATAACAAAATAGCTGATTGGAACCTTAGCTGACAATATAGCAGAGAAGTTATTGACTGGCTGAAACTGGAAACCATATTTCCCTCTCATTCTTAGAGGTGTTCCCTCCTGTCAAACATGAGATGCTCAGATTTTAAAATAAAACGCACAGCAGTGCTTAGACAGCTAGGGGAAGCTGCCACTGTCTCTCTTCTATGGCTAGAATTGGGTTTCCAGGACTGTCAAGCTGGCCTCTTTCACTACAATGAAATTTTCTAAATTTTCCAAAAAGTTTTGAAAATTCGTTAGATGTCCCATGTCACCTAAAGGATGTCTGCACTGCAATTATCCACCCGCAGCTGGCCAGCGTGAGCTAGATCCAGCTCAGGCTGCAGGGCTATAAAACTGCAATGTAGACAGCTGGGCTTGGGTGTCTATACTGCAGTTGTATAGCCCCACAGCCCTTCAGCTAATGGGAATCAGTGGTTGATTAACTGCAGTGTAGACATACCTTTAGATTCTAAGGCTGCTATTCTGCTCGCATCCCCCGGAGGGCATGTGGGGTAAGGTACAATGAATAAAGTGTCATTTTAAAACCAAGAACCTACCTCTTGGAATGATTCTACCAGATTTTCAGCATCCCGCTTTCCTCCCGGTTGCAGGCCATAAGACCAGTGTTGAGCCAAGCAAATCTCCATAGACAGAATAAACATGAGGAACCTTACAAAGAGCTTCCTGGTCTCCTCCATTCTACCAGAAAGCAAAATATGAATGCGAAAATAGTACAGGGACTGAACAAAGGCGGTGGGTACTCTATAAAAAGACAAATTGCACCTATACTTGCAAAAAGCTGCTGAGAATCCATTGGCTACAAATCCCCCACACACCCCACACCTGATTATTCAATAATCAGTTTATTACATTCAGGTTATGCTCAATTCTGTTACTACAAAATCATGACAGTGTTTGTATTTCTGGAATGCATCTTAAATTCTGGCCCGCTGCACCTGAAATCCAGCTGTAGCTCAAGTTATTTCTAAAAAGGCTGGATGTGTTTAACTCCAGGATTTAGGGTTAGCCCATTATAAAGAAGGGCCACCTGCAAAATTTGAACGCCTCCCCAGAGTTTCGGGAGCATCCAGATCCCAGGGTTTTGGTGCAGGCCCATGCAACTGATCCATTTCCTTTAATCAGTTTCTGTTTTAGTACCTCAGTCCTTGAAAAATGCTCTGCAGTCTTTCCTAGTCAAGTATCTTGAGACACTGAGCATCCAAAATTTAATGCATGGTCTGGTTCAAGTACATTACCTGCTTGATGAGAGGCGCTGCTGAATGAATAATCCCAACTCTGCTTCTTCGGAATATATCCTACATGTTGTACCTGCCAGCTTGCTTTTTATATACACGTACCTTCCCAACCTTCCTAATACTGACGCTTTCCCTGCAGGTGACAATTTAATTGTCTCATGTGGACTGCAATTTTGTTCTTACAATTTGCTATAGCGTACCAGAAGTGAAGCACATAATTGAAACACTCCAGGTGTAGCTATTAAATTCAGCTGAGTGTTGTCACTAAGAGCCATAAACAGTCTTTATTTTAAGAAGCCATAAATCAGAGGTTCCCTAGGGAAAAATCCTCATTTTTCTTTTCAATGGCTCTTAATTATTTTAAATAGAAAGTACATCCTGGGTAAGTTTGGAGTTGGTGAGATGCAACAGTTTAAATGTACAAGGAATTCAGTTTGTTAAAGGCCAAGCATCTCTGTACATCAGACCTCAGGGGCCACATTTTACAAAGTGCTCAGCTTCCATTTAGGCACCCAAACAAGCAGCCAGATGTGCAAAGTGCTCAGTACATTGAGTGCCCCCTGGGGGCGGAGATACTTTGAAAAACTGCCCCTTTTGAAAATGTGGTCAATATTTTTAAGTGCTTTGAGATTCTTGGTTCTCTAAAGTTCAAAGTATAATTTAGATGATTCAGTAGACAACTATATTACTTAGGCTAGGTCTACACTACAGCGGGGGGTCGACCTAAGATACGCAACTTCAGCTACGTGAATACCGTAGCTGAAGTTGCGTATTTTAGGTCGACTTACCCGGCTGGGAGGACGGGGGAAAGTCGACCGCTGCCGTCGACTCCGCTGCCGCCTCTTGCCGCGGTGGATTTCCAGAGTCGACGGCAGAGCGATCAGGGATCGATTTTATCGCGTCCTCACGAGACGCGGTAAGTCGATCCCAGAACATCGATTGCCTGCCGCCGGACCCTCCGGTAAGTATAGATGTACCCTTAGATTGGGGCCTGGGCCGTCTTTTTGTTCTGTGTTTCTACAACACTTACCACTATGGGGTGCTAGTCCATAACTTGGGGCTCCCGGGTACTATGTAATAAACAATATTGATGTCTTTAGGCAGTGACCCTTACACCTTTTGGAGGTGAAAGGCATTGCAGACTATAAATATGCTGATAGACGCCTATAAAGAGGGGTGAAACTCAAATTTAGCTGCAGAAATCTGAATTTTTATCCAGCTGTTTGCTCCCATGCATTCCATTTTGATGTAAGTAGTGAAATACCCACTCCATCCTGTTTAGTAGCCCATTCACAGTCCTCCTAGCCCCTTTCTGATTAATGGATTAAAAAATAATTTGATAAAGATTAAAGTATTTTAAGGAGGATTTAGTTACTTTGGGAAAAGCAATTTTCTGTCCTAATGTAACATCTCAGCAGGAAGGGCTAACACACGACTCCTGCTGATACAACTAATCAAGCTGTTAAAATGGTTTATTAAGCAAAATAATACCTAGGGGGTAAGTTACATAACATAGGAAAGGACTTGCACAGTTTTTGTTTATTTCTTGTGTTATAGAATTCACACCCTTTCCTCAAATCAAGAACAGATAGGCTTTGCAGACACACAGGGCCAGATTTCCAAGTGCCCCGCCAACACAATTGGAGCCAGATTTTCAAAAGTGTTCAGGACCTACCAGTTCCTATAGTGATCCAGGGGCCAAGTCCTGAAAAACCCTGGCCCCCAGTTACGATGCCTAAAAGGGAGCTGAGCGCTCTTGAAAGTCTGCTCCGCATTTTTCAAGGTCTGGTCACTAATGTTTTTAGTACAAAGCCTAATTTGCCTTTCACTTGCAAATAAGACTTTTTCCAGCTTATATTTTCACAACTTTACTCAATTAAAAAACAAGACTCTGTATAAACATTTTATACTATTTATTGATGCAGCCAGTTTACATTAGGCTAGAACCTGCATTTTCAGAACATGCCATTTTGGGCTATTCCTGCAGTCTTGTCACAGCAAAAGATGTACCTTAAACGTGTTTGCAAGTGAACAATGCCTTCTGCTGTGAGTATTCAAGTGACTATCAGTGAAAGTTTAAATAGAATTTATACACACTGATTATGAAAATAGATTTCTCCCATACAATATTCTACCTCTGCCAGCTACAAAAATGACAAAAATAATTCATTTAATTAAGTACATTTCTCCAGCTATACCCGCCCTTCTTCCTTCAATGCATGTACATTACCCCACTGTTAAGGAAAGTGGTACATTAAGAAATGACCCTATATTTATAATGCAACTTTTTGCCATGAAGGTAAGTGTTGTCCAATAAGTCAAAAGGCCTAAGAGCCTGACAAATCCCAATTCTGCTCCAATTGGCTATGTGACCTCGAGCCCAAGAAGGTCACGTGACATGAAGAAGTCAAACCCAATACAGCCCCATTCCCCCCGTCATGTACTTTTTGGGAGCTCATCTTTCCTAGGAAAATAAATGGTTTTGCTGTAACGATTAAGACCACACCACCTTCCTTGTACAGAAGACGGTAGATCTGCACTTCTAGAGCTAAAAAGGTGACCCACTGAAGTAGCTGTGACAATTTAGATCACGGTTAACAATGGCAAGCTCTGCAAGTTTAACATCATGCTACATTTGTTCCTATCTTCCAGTAAGATTGGTATTTCCTTTGATTTTGACTTTGGGGTATTTTAAGTTAGTGAGGTAAGTATTCTTGATGCACCCAGTTTTATTTGGTATAAAAAGTCTGTGCTTGTTTGATTGTGTACAGAATAATCACAGAGACATATGAGAGGGTCTCAACTGGTGTTACAGTGGAAACAGCTTCTTGAGTGAAATTAGGGTGACCAGATAGCAAGTGTGAAAAATTGGGACGGGGCGGGGGTAATAGGAGCCTATATAAGAAAAAGCCCCAAAAATTAGGACTGTCCCTATAAAAATCAGGACATCTGGTCACCCTAAGTGAAATTCATTGCTGGATGGAGACCCCATAAGGCTTTCTGCACTGCAGAAACTCCATAGTTCCCTGTGCACTAACAGATAGAGAGGGGTAAAGGAAAGGAGTTTTGCCTCAGGGAAGTGGCTCCCATGGTTGCTCTGAATAGGCCCAACAAGGAGCACGGGGGAAGGTCCGTGCTATCCATGGTTTCAGTGTACAGAATGCTTGCATAGCATATGTTCAGGGGCAACAGTGGCCATTCCATACACAGCAGTAGTGACCATGGAGAGAGAGGCTGGGCATCAGGCACTGTGTCTACTTTGCTGGAGGAATAAACTGTCTTCCCCTTCCCAATCCACACTTAATTTCCTGTTTTTTAAAAAAAAACAAACAAACAAAAAAAACCACATGCACTTAGGCTTGGTGCTAGAAGGGACACGAATAAGCTAGATAGATTTTTCACTTGTCAGCACTCCACACTGACATCGAAAGGACTAAATAAGTAGTATGCGTCTTGGAACATGCTCCTTTAAGTTCTGATTATAACAAAGCTCTGCTGTGCATGAAGATTTTCTAGTGAAGATAGAGTTGCAAAGATGCTTCCACTGTATATTTCAGAAGTTGGTTGAGCCACTGCATACCTAAATTCAAGCTACTACCAGGCAGTGTTACCTGTGATGACTTATTTAAATGCTGTCACTCCCCCTGCCCCTCCCAAAAGAAAGTACCTGGAAAAAATGTTTTGGGAACTCTATCCCCACCACATTCATCATTTAATATGCTGTGCATGAATAAAGAAACTAACTGTAAATATACTAATGCTAATTGTAAACCTGAACATTTCTGCTACTGTATGTGACTAACATTTCATATATTTATATTGCAGATACAAATGTAATAAATATAATTGCATATATTGTGCTTTATAAATTAAAATCCTAAAAATGCATTCCAAAATGAGGTGATGCTAAAACAAGACTATTTTAAAAAAATACATAACATTCTGGTTCTAAAACTAGCCCACTTCCCTATCTCCATTCAAAAGGTAGCAACAATGTCTATTCCTACACCTATTAAATAAAAGCCCCCTCCCCCCAAAAGTGACCAGAGGTGTTTCCTTAGGCACTACTGAGGATATAAGTTATTGTCTAATAAATGGTATGTCTAGATTATAAAGGGAGTGGGTAGAGAAAGAAAGTCACGATAAGTGTTTTCATTTCTTCCTCTTCAGCAAGTATTCTTCCAGTCAACTGTGCCAGGTCCTATCTGACACTCTGAGACATGTGTAAAGGCGTCAGCATCTCTTCAAAGATAGCTCCTTTTACGTTAGAGCCTCTCAAATTAGCTTCCTGTAGATCACAACCCGATAAGTCACAATTCTAAAGGATATAAAAGAAAAGCCTCTCAGGTTAAGCGTACAAAGAAATCCTTTTATGAGAGTTTAAGCTAGTATAAAAGTACTCCCAGCTTCTGCAGAATGGTAGTTAGAGCAAGCTAGAATTAGTTGGATGCCATGATATTACCCTAAATTAGCTACTCCTCGTAAACTATTTCAGATTGAGACTTTGGTTGCTTACCACAAGCAGCTACAGTCAAATTTATTTTTAGTGAAGGAATTTGATAAGATACAATATAAATACCTCATCTCAAACTAGCATCCTTTAAGGCATTTGAACCACATTGAACAAAGCTGATGGAAATAAGAATGGTTGCCGTGCCAGCAGACATAACTGAGGGGCATATCAGCAATTTCTTCCATCTTAACAGTTTTATAGTGCTTGTGAACATACCAATTAAGAGAAGTAATTTTTCTACAATATAGACACTTAAGGCATATTGCATGACCTCTAACAGCAAGGCAGGCTTCCCCATGCGACCCTGCTGAATGTGGCATGATTCTCCCCAGTAAAGTTAATAGCAAAGCTCCAACTGTCTTCAATGAGTGCATGATCTAACACTAAAAGTTAAGTGTAATAAAATCTCCATACACATTCAGATCTGTGTGTCACTTTGGAAGAAAGGCCAAAAATCTTTTTGGCAAGCTGAAAAAACTACGGTTTGAAGTCTTTATTCCTCAGCCTCTGGGGCAAGTGTGAAGTAAGATCAAAAGTACTGACAGACTGAGATAGGGGCATTTGGGGAAATAAAAGGACAAATAAAAGAAAACTGACAGTTGCTATACTTAAAATCAGTGCCTCTTCATTGCTCCCAGTTTAAAGTATCCTTGTATTCCCTTTAATAGATAACCCAGCTGAAAGGAATTAACCTTGCTAAGACCCTCTATCGATGCTGATGTCTAATAATTCTACTCGCAGCTTAGTTAAACAAGTTACTGTGTATGAAACAAAAAAACATTACTCACTTCTAAGTCAGTTCCTGCCAGAGTTGCTCCTCGGAGGTTACAGTTTTTCAGCTTTGCATTTTTCAAAGTTGCAACTCTTAGATTAATTCCTGTCATCTGACTTCCTTCCATGTCAACACCTTTCAGGTTAGCACCTAAAATACACAAACAATAGGTCAACAACAACAAAAAATACTCAAGGGTGAAATTCACACAGCCAATCCCCTGCACAAAGCTAGGGTAATCATGGGCTTTTGGGACTTGCCCAAACTCAAAGCAAGTCATGGCAGAAACAAGACTAGAACTCAGGAGCTCCTGCCTTCCAGTACCATGCTCTCAATTCACTAGACAAAGCCTCCTCTCAAAGATAAGTCTGAAACTCTGCCATGTACCATTTAACATAAGTCACAGCATCGCTTGCACTTTTATGTTTGTATGACTCCCAAAGCAAGTGGAAACCAGAGAGAGAGAGACTATTTTTGTTACCTTCCAGGTTAGCTTTAAGGCCGGAGGGATCTTCAAAATTACATCCTTTCAGCGATGCCCCTTCTGCATTGGAACAGAGCATCTTTACACCTTGTAGGTTTGCACACTGGCAAAGAAAAATGTACATGCTATCAGTAAGATTCTACACACAGCTCAGAGAACTGCAGAGACCAAAAGGTAAGAACAGCTTGTCCGATCATATCATTTATCTTAGGCTATGGCTACACTACAGAGCTTGCAGCAGTAAGTTCTGTAAATTCTCTAATGTAACTGCTCTAAGCCAATGGGAGAGAGCTCTCCCATCAACTTAATTAATCCACCCCCAACAAGCAGCGGTAGCAGCTCTCCCGCTGAGATAACACTGTCCATGCTGGTGCTTAGATTGGTGTAACTTCTGTCACTCAAGGGGGTGGCTTATTCACACCCCTAAGCAGCATAAGTTATACCGACGTAAGTGGTAGTGTAGACATAGCCTTATAATAAGGCATTGAAACCCATTATGGCACAGCATATCGTGCCATCTAAGGAGGAGGAGTGAAAGCTTATAACACTGTTCCCCTGCCAACCTCCTAGAATGGTGAGTAATGCAATAGCACACAGCAGCTCTTCAAGAGACCCAATGCAAGCTCAAGACCTAAAGCTCTATTTACTTTAGGCCTATGCTTCCATAGAAACTGATTTGGGGAGGGAAGGAAATTAAAACTTTGGGATGAACTATAAACTTATCAGGCACTAAAAACTATGCAAAGTCGGTCAGATCAAGTCTGTGTGTAATCAAACATTTTAAATAAGAGTTGTAAAGTGATCTATACATTCAAGAGCTTGAAAAAGGTTTTTAAAACAAATGTGGCTACTTTGTATTTGTTCCCAATATTGCTCTTCTAGACTATGTAACACTGAACAGCTCAGCCTTTCCCAAGACACAATTCTCACATCAAGCACTGATCCAGAGAGGTCAGCTCGTTCAAGATTTGCACAGCAAAGGTTGGCATGGGCTAGGTTGCAGCGGCTTAAGTTAGCCATCTTGAAGTTTATGTATCGAAGATCTAACCGAGAGAGATCTGCACCACTGAAATTTAGACCCTACAAACAAACAAAAACAGAAGTTGAAGATGAGGTTTAGTCCAGTGGTCTAAGCACAAAACTGAGGTAGAAGCTTCAGAGTTCTAATCCCAGCTTTAACACCCTCCCTCTCTGTGACCTCTGACACAATCTTTCTGACTCAGTTTCCCATTTCTAAGATATAAATATTATTTTCATCAGAGAGGTATTGGAGCATTAGCTTATGTAAGAAGAGTTACAAATAAAATTTGTTTATTTATAAAACACTGAAGCCCTAGACATTTACTATTACAATCTGCTTGAAAAACTTTATAATTCTATTTCATCTGCATACACTTTTTTTTTTTCTTGTGCATATAAGATAAAACATTAGACGCTTACCTTCATTTTGTCTTATTCACCTCTACCCCAATATAACGCTGTCCTCGGGAGCCAAAAAATCTTACCGCGTTATAGGTGAAACCATGTTATATCGAACTTGCTTTGATCCGCTGGAGAGCGCAGCCCCGCCCCCCCCGGAGCACTGCTTTACCACGTTATATCCGAATTCATGTTATATTGGGTCGCATTATATCGGGGTAGAGGTGTACTTAAATTCAGACCTTAAATATGTTCTCAAACAGGTGAATTTACGTAAGGAGCTTACAACATTACACAAAGGCTAACCAGTGTTCTCAGTCCCTTAAACCAAAGAAAAATATACGCAAGTACACCTTCTGCTCCATAGAGAGCTAATGAAATGTAAATGCAAAACCTCATACATTGTCCTCGGTTATGTTAGTTTATTTTGCATTTAAATAGGGAACTGATTAGTTCGATGAATGGCTGCTACATGAAACCTTCAACCTAAAATAATAAAAGACAAAAAGCAAAATGGAAGGGCTTTTTTTCCCCTGCATGATTGGTTCTGGATCAGCCTTATCTTTGAATCAAAACCTCCTGTCTCACATTTAAAAGGAATTAAAAGGGAAAAAAGGAAAAATCCACACACATGGCTTGGACACATCCATCACTAATTGTCACATGAGATGTAGGGCATTTTACTATTGGACTCTAGTTCAAAGCAATGTTTGTATTATACCTGACAGCGCAGTTCAGACTTAGTTGGGGTTGCCAGCAGAAATCGGACAAATTCCTTCCGGGATATAGGAGAATGATCCTCAGCTGGCTGAGAATTCTGCAAGCGAGTTAAATCAAAGAGTTTAAAACTAATATTTATAGAAGTGAGAGCTAAAATTGCTTTTTAAAAAACCCAAGACGTACAATCAAATACAATACAAAAGTTACCTTAATAGCTACTTCCAGATGTTCAATCAATGAATCAATACCAAAAAATCTGGCTTCTTCCAAAACACCTAATAAAAGAAAAAGTTACTTGGCTATTTAGAAAATAAGGGCCCTTTCCTGAATGATGCCAAGCTCCCTCCTTCGCTGGAATATGAGGAAGTTTAAAACCTCCCAAGATGTGCAAGATCTGTCCCCAGGATTGCAAGTGCATAAATTCAATTCCCCCCACCCCAATTAATCTTTAAACTCTCAGGAAGACAAAAACCATCTCCAAGAAATACATAATACAACTGTCAACCATATACATTAATTAGATGTAATTGGGGTAGAGGAAAGGAGACTTTATCCACAGATTAAAGGGAAAATCATCCATCAATTTAGTAATGGTGTTTTTCCAATAGAAGCAGTGTAAAAGATCTGGAGTACATGCGGGTTAAGGAATCAAACCAAGAATTATAGTAATAGGTTAGGGCATGCCAAGAATCCTTACAACCCTCAAGTTGAATAAGTACGAATATTTTATTTTCATTCAACTGTAAATCACAGAATTAAACTTAATCAATAACAAATGTACCAAAGTTTTTAAAACGTCTACAACCCCTCAGATATACATATACAACTCTTATTGACGCCAATAGATGTACCTAGGGGCAGAGTTTAACCTTTGAGGTTGAATAAATTTTAGGGATGTCACACAGATAATACACACCTAGCAAATTAATGCCATCGTTTACAATGAGCTGCCCATGACGCAAATAGTTCAGAATTGGTTCGAAGTATTCTGGACTGCGATCAATTAAGAATGCTCCCCTGTGATCCTGCTTATTCCCCCAGGCATCTGTTTGCACACAAAAAAATATGCATTGTATTAAATTTGATACAGTGATAACTTTTCATATTCAGATTACTACTGCCACACAGTATCCTCACACCACTCAAAGTAACAGATTGTAATGAGTTAAATAAAAGATTGACTTGAAAGGGACACAATTTGGAAGAGAACGGAGACTAAAAAAAAAAAAAAAAAAAAGAGGGGACAATTGTGAATCCAAAACACAATTTATGTTAGAGCGGTCCCCAACCTTTTTCGTCTGGTGGGCGCCAGACGACGAGCCACGGAGGACCATGGCGGCGGACGAGCATCCGCCGAAATGTCGCTGGCAAGCGGCAACGTCAATAGGTGTCGCCGCCAAAATGCCGCCGACAAGCAGCGTCATCCAGAGGCATCGCCGCTGATTTTCAGCGGCATTCCGGCGGCGATACCTCTGGATGACGCTGCTTGTTGGTGGCATTTTGACGGATGCTCGTCCGCCGGCCAGTATGCGGGCGCACTTAGATACCCCGGCGGGCGCCATGGCGCCCGCAGGCACCAGGTTGGGGACCCCTGTGTTAGAGCGTAAGAACCAGCAGGTGAATCAATATAAATCGGAGCAGAACTGGACTGTTTTAGTTTTACTGGAGCATGGACTGTATTTTTGTCTCTTGAACAGTGCTAGCACATTGATTGCATTAATTGAAACAATGGTCAAATCAGGGTGAGATGCAACTAAAAGCATTCATAAGTATTACTAGTTGTAATTTACGTTTTCAAGATGTCATACAAACTTTAAGCACAACTGGTGAAATGCAAAGCATTCTAAGTTCTGTTTTGGTACTCTAACATATACACATAAGGAGGGGGTGTCTTTAAAAAAAAATTAACAGTGTTTCTGCTAACTTTAAGGAATACGTCTATTTCAAAATACCAACCTTTATCTTTAAACATATGGGCCAGCATACTGTCAGGTTCTTTATTAACTAAAGTGCTCCTGGAAAACAAAGCAAACTCAATTTATCTTTAGCTTGTCTCGCTCAAGAGGTACATTACAACAAATCAAGAATTTCCTGTACCTACAGTTATGAAAGTGATGAGATTGAGACATTTCTCTAAATTACAATGCTGTACCAGACCTATTTTCATAACATGTATAGTGTATTAGGTCAAATTTATTCTCATAAGACATTTTACAAGGAGAGAGCTTATTTGATGGATTAAAAAAATACAGTAGAGAAGATTCCAAGTATAATTTTCCACCAAGTTTTTAATACTATCTGAAAACTGTTTTAAAATCAGTAATAGTGACCAATAAGATAACTGCACAGAAAGATTTTCTCCTAAATAAGTGATTTTTTTCAATTTTTTTTATTTGCCCTCTGAAGACTCACCAAGTGAGCATACAGTGGTTAATGTAATTATCAGTATCGACTCACGGAAGTCTAAAGTTCTTTGAAAACAAAAATTAAAGTTATATTCCCACCGTGTAGTTGTAAAGTATCGGCCTCCAACATTTAGTGTTAACCAATCCGTGTGCGACCCTGTTAGTTCTTCATGAAATTTTACGTCTGTCTGAGGATCTACATTGATGAAATGTACAAAGTGATCTTTAGTCAAGTATATTTCTGAATAACCCCACATAAGATACCTCTTCTGAAAACTGTTTGCACACTGGTGAAAACAATTTCAGATATATTTTACATCTACTTCAAATCTGTTTCTTCATAAGGCAAAACGTTAGT